CTAGGGGCTGAAACTCCAGGGAGCAAACACCCCTGGAAGAGAATGGCCTGCATCATTTATGTATTTTATTTTATTTTTTAAATCCTCACCCGAGGATGTTTTTCCATTTATTTTCTGATAGAGTGGGAGGGAGGGAGGGAAACAGGGAGGGAGGAAGGGAGGGAGGAACATTGACATGAGAGGGACACATTGGTTGGTTGCCTCGTGCATAACCCTGACCAGGGCCAGGGACGGAACCAAAACTGAGGTACGTGCCCTTGCCTGGAATCGAACCCACGACTCTTTGGTCCACGGGCTGTCACTCTAACCACTGAGCCAAACTGGCCAGGGCCCTGCATCATGTTTTTTTAATTTCATTATTTCATGGGACAAGGTCTTGTCTACAGTTTACCAGCAGTGCCTGAAAGATGTCCCAGCTATGCTTGCCACCTTTTCTCTGTGAGATCACTAAGGAAAAGATTTTTTTAAAATTCTTAGGGGCTCAATATTTTCCTTCCTGAACAGTCTCAAGGTGAACCAGGAGATTAAAAATAGTCCATAATATATTCTTAGTGTGAGTTAAGATATTAGTCACATAATATTCTTGAATTTGTACTTCCAGAACATCTTCCACTCAAAAGTTTCCATATTCTTTCCAAAGTTAATATTTTTCTGATGGGTTAAAATAAAATAGAGAAGTCCAAAGAGGGAAGGGACTTTAAATCTGTGCCCTTTAAAAACCCCTTTCCAACTCTAACTTTCTTTCATATATAGCTGTGTGGTCTTGGACAAGTCACTTTCTCTCTCTGAATCTCAGCTTCATAACGTGTGACAATGAGAGGCCAGATGTCTAGCTTTAACAGTCTAATTTTGTTGGGAAATCTCTGGCGTGGCGAACATGCCATTCTTCTTTGAAAGAGGCCTGTGCTCTTTAATTACAGCAGGTTTTGGCATTTGCATATCTGACATCTGTGGCATTTGCATATTTGACATCTGTGGGGGACTCCCAGCGACCCCAGAGGTCCATGAGCTGCTATAATCTGTTGCTTCGCAGAGGTGTGCTGTGAGCCTGGGATACAGGGGCCAGTCACGTGCTTAGTGAATGGGATTGCCACACGGGCAGAACCCACATTTCCATGAGGTTTTGCTGTTGTCTGCTGAAGGCTCAAAGGCCACAACTCCTATAATGTGCTGTGGTGGTTGTCACAAGGGTGGAGATGCTTCTAGATCACGAAGGTGTCAATAGTATCCGGCTATTGTAATGTGAGTTTAATGTTATCATGTACCCACCCCCACGTCATCTACTTCACTATGCATCCTGATCAAGGTTACTTTAAAAACTTTCGTGGTGTCTTGCACACAGCAAGGAGATTTTATTCCTCTTTTATTGAATTTATTTCAACCATATCTTCTCCCTGTGTTCTGATTTGTCTGAATATCTTTATCCTCTCCACCTGAGAAGAAGCTCCTTGCAGCTGGGGTGCCAGCTTGTCTTACTCACCATCTCCGGAGTACCTAGCAATGTACCTCGTACACAGCAGGTAATTAACGAATGTCTACTGAATGTCTGAGCACCTTCTCTGAGCAGGCACTGTGTTCATGGTGCATTCCCTTCACACTGGTATGTAGTACTGATCACATCCCTGCCGGAGAGCTACTATGATTCCTATCGGGCCAACAAAATACCTGGGACTCAGACAGGTGAAGTGACTTGTTCAAAGTTACACAGCTGGTGACTGATGGATCCACCTCTGTCTGTCAGACTCCAAAGTTCATGTTTTTCCATCTTACCTTCTTTGGTAAGAAGGAAAGCATAAAATCAGGTAGGTGAATTCGTGGATCCAATATTATTGATAGAGCACAGGCCTGTCTTCCACCTGGATCTATTCAGAGGAGTGTGGTGAGGACAGAATTGACAATGCTGCCAGGCCTGGTGGGCAGATAAAGCCACATAAGGAGGAAAGAAGGGAACGTGGAATTGTTGCAGCATCACACAGCACCTGAGTGCCCTGAGGGTCTCCATGTCAGCTCCCAGGCAGCAACTGCAATTAGCAGGGTCTCGGGGAAAGAGCTGGGTTCCAGCTAAGTTGGAGTTGAGTCAGACCTGGACCTGGGAGTTTCAGGAGGAACTGGGAAGCGAGCATTCACGATTTGATTAAGCGAGTTGTGTGAAGAGCCACTGCCCGTCCTGAGCCCCATGGTTGGTGAGGGCTTCAGAGCCTTCGGCCTGCAGCTGGCACCAGGGCAGCAGGCGCTGGCTCGCGGTGCAGAAGCTTCCAGCCCTACTCTAAACATTTTGAAACGTAATCTGCGTTTTAGCAAGATCCCCGAGTGGTTCATCAGCCCATTAAAATCTGAGAAACACCACTCTAAAGATATTCTAAGGACCTTTCTGGCTCTAATACTTTAACATTTTATGAGTTTAGACTAGGAATCCTCATGGTAGCCAAAAATCTAGCATGCTTATTAATGAGGGTCACACAGAGATCCAAGCAACCTGATCACCTCCACGGTGTCTTCTGAAGAATATTGTTAACTCATCGATACTACTATTAATGGCCTCATTCACTGAGCACATACCGTGGGCAAGGAACGGTGCATACAATATCTTGAATTATCGTAACAGTCCAGCAAGAAAAACATTATCCCCGTTTCGCCAATGAGAAAATAATCTCATAAATTAATAAACTGCCCCCAAACTACATGGTTAAATCAATAGTAGAGACAAAACCCCTAACCTAGCGTATTTAGAGTCCATGGTTTGTCTGGTTTGTCTGCTACATCATACAGCCTCCAGTCAAATTACAAGTTAAAGTATGAAGCATAGGTGTGCAATGTGAGAAGAGACTAACAGATTTTGGGCTCATTGTTCTGCAGTGGAGAAGACCAAAGGGGTAGTCTAAAATATCATGCAAAGGAATAGATGGGAACATAGACTTGTTCACCAAACCCTGGGCCAGAATCTCCAATGTGTGGAGGTTGATGTACATTTAGAACCAGTATCACCCAGGAAGGTTTAGCATATTCAGAGATCTCAGGTGCACCGTTGTTTATTGATGGGACAAAGAAATCAGGAGCCAACCCTCTGATCTCTCAAAAACTACCCTTCAGTGCCCTTGGTAGATAGGTACTGAATTGGAGGAACCACAAGTCTGTCAAATTACGGCCAGTGCTGTGGTCTTGATGTCATTCAGTGCTTGATAACAACCTCTTATGTACTGATATTGCCATAAACGTGTATGAAGTTTCACAGAGTTGGCTTCCCAGGGAGGGCCTGTCCTTCATTTCCGTATGTATAAACACTCTCCCCAGAGCACATATAAACGGATCGTATTCTCTAGAAGGCACATGTTTTTACTTACGCTAACAAATGACTATCCTTCCCAGCAAGATGACTAAACAGAGCTCTAATAAATCAATTTGTCAACAGCCATTTTACTTCCGGAGACAATATCCCCCATCCCATCTTCGGCTTGTGCAAATATGACCTACGTTGAGCACCCTACGTCCATGGTACAGAAAATCCTAGAGCTGGGAGGAACTGCAAAGAGACCTGACCCCACCTCTACACAAGGAAAGTGCTGTTACTCCCACTTTACAGATGAGACAGTTTGGTTCTAGAGCTAAGACTAAACGACTTGCCCACAGTCACATTATTTAGAAGCAATTGAGGAAGGACAAGAGCAGAGTCCCCTAGATGACTCTCTCAGCTCTGAACCCAACCCCTTTGACGCTCTGTCCCAAGGCTGGACCTGGGAAGAAGCTCTTCTAGGACACCTCTCCCTCAGTTCTACGGACTCCCTTTTCCATGAGTTCCTGCCGTCACTCTTCTGGAGGTTGTGTGTTTGCATTTCCTACTGAAAGTGTTTTCAGCAGGTTTCTGGAGCAGTTTGGCACCCCCCTTCCCACATTCCCCCTTTGTTTTTCACACTTTCTCCTGCTACTGCTTATTGCTTGTGGACACCAGCAGGAATTCAGAGACAAGGTTCCCCTTTCTCGTCCTCATCCTTGGCCACCCGGGAAAGCCCACCCTCCCATAAGCTGCAAATCCCGGGAAAAATCATTCTGCTTTGTTCTTCACAGCTATCTATCTGAAAAAGGACGGAACACCCAGCACAAGAAGGTTCAGTGGGGAGAGTTACAGAGGCAAGAGAAGTGCAATACCCACAGTGTGAGAAGAACTGAATGGGCAGTAACCTGAAAACTATTTCAGGAAAATTCAGGACCGTGAGAAGAGACGACCACACAGAAGATGTGCTTTCTCCCACAACTGCTAAGCGGCTTCTCCTTCACTGCTTAGCCAGATTTTGGAACTTAAACCTGTGAATAGAGACAGCTGGCTGTTGCCCTGGGAGCTCTGCTTCTTCAACATACATCTAGTACCCAAGCCGTACTGACTCATCTCACCTAGACTGGGCAGGCCGCATAAAACAGCCTGTGGGCATTTAAACATATTGCCAAGTTTCGATCAATGGTGCAATTTCCAAACTGGAGGAGAAGTACCTCAAATCTGGTTATACAATACAACTGCAAGATGGTACTGGAAAAAATAAAGCCAATGCCACTTGCTCTCTTGAGGATGTCCTGACTGGGCTATCACTGTCTCAGAGTGGCAAGGGTTGGCTTCAAAGTTCACAGAAGCCCTTGGCATGAGGAGAGGAGGAAGGAGAAACCCAAGGAGGCTCCTAGCTCTTGCTTAGTCACAAGAATTCTCCAAAATCTGATATCAAAACTTCTGTCACCCCACACCTCCCCCAGCATCATGTTGAGTCTCGGTAGACAAAATCTGTGTCCTTAGATCCTGCCACAGGGTTCCTTGCCCAGAAACATTTTAAAGTGAGAAAACGGAAGGAGAGTGTGGAAGCAGAAACTGCCAGTAGTGTCTGCTGATCCCGCATACCTGTGATGGAACCAAAGTTTGACATTAACACAAATACAAGGAACATTTTAAAGAGTGGTGCAGAAGGATAGAAGGACATAGCAAGGGATGGAGGGGGATAGAATATTGAAAGGTTACTTACACAGTCTCATTATTCTTGAACTCCAACTCCCCATAAATGTCTTCAAAATCCTCACCACCACCCTTGGCTGTCCCTTCTACTGTCCTAAAGGGGACGATGACTGTGCCCCGGGCACCTGATGTCCGCAGAACCTTGATCTCCATTACACCAATACTCTCACTGACACGAACACTGTCACATTCAAAAGTGAAGATGCCTGCATGGTCATCATCCAAGATAGTGACTGTGGCCACACAAGGGGACACCAGGACAGCCCGAGGCAAGGGAAGACTATTCAGTATTGTTGGAGGCATCCCCTCCTCTGGCTGCTCCTCCTCCGCGCGGACATTGCTCAACCTCACAAAGAAGTGTTCATCCTCCTCGAAGATGTCATCATCGATGATGCCCACAGAGAACTCCTTCTGCGTCTCTCCTGGCTTCAGAACCACGGTGCCCTCTGTGAACTCATAGTCAGCCCCTGCGTTGGCAGAACCATCCTCTGTTTTGTAGTCCACATACACGGTCTTGGATATGTCCCCACCTTTCCTCACCACAGTCAGGAGGACAGCCCCACAGTTCTCCAGGCACTGGTAAGAGCATGGGTCAAAGAAGACCTTGGAGACAAAGTCCTCAGGCTCATCGGTGCGCACCTCATTCATGAGGGCGGACCTCTTGGCTTTCTCTGCAGCGTGTTTCTTCAGGATATTGCCTGCACCAATCATCATACGGGTGGCTTGAATCCGGTAGAAGGCACGGCTCTTCTGTTGATGGGAAAGAGCATAGTAATTGGCCATCTCTACCAGCTGATCTAAATCCTTCTCTGAGTGTTTTTGCTTCAGATCCTTGAGAATCCGGATCATCTCCCTGCGGGACTCATCTACTTCCTTCCCTTCCAGGGGCACCAGATTCCCATCTAGGAAGTGGGAATTCATCATTTTCCCATCCATCTCAATGCCCTTGGGGTGGGTACCCTCTGTCTCTATGATAATTCCCCGGTGTTTATCTGTGCGGTACTTCTTGTGCATGTATTTGTAGAAGAGCAGTCGCCTATCTGCCACCCAGGCCAGAAGGACACACACTGGAAAAAAGAAGAGAGTAAGAAGGCCTTCCCAAACCTGAACCACACCAGGAGAGAAGACTGCCAGGATCATATAGAGCCAGATGTAGGCAAAGATACTCCAAGCAGCAGTGACAAAAAAGACTCGTAGGTGCTTGATCTTACGAGTCTCTCCATCGGGGATCACGTAGACGCAGATGCCGATGATGATGAACATGTTGAAGGCTGCACTGCCTACAATGGTAGAAGGTCCCAGATCACCAGCAATGAACCCATGACCAAACACCTCAATTAAAGAGAGGAGGATCTCAGGAGCAGAGGAACCCAGGGCCATAAGGGTTAGGTTGGAGACAGTTTCGTTCCATACCCGAATCGTTGTTGTGCTGGTCTCTCCATTGGGCTTTTTGATTGTCACCTCTCTCTCTTGAGAAGTGATGACTTCAATAGATGCCATGAAGCGGTCAGCAATGATGGATACCCCAAGGAACATGTATATCAGGGCCACAAAATAGACAATGACCCTGGCAATCTTATCCCCAAGGGAAGGGTTCTCCGGGTACCAGATTGGTAAGATGACACCCTCCTTGCAGTCCGATGATCCCGAACAGGATTCATTGTTCTGCCCTGTGCTGGGCACATCCCCTGAGCCACCAGCCTCTGCCCGAAGACCATTCAGGAAAAGCACAAAAGTAATCAGCCCAAAATGGAGGAAGGCAGAGGTGAGAGGCTGCAACCGTAACCACGCCATACACGAGACTTAGCCACTGGCTTCCACTGCAGCACCAATGGTCCTCCTGATAGGCCAGAGACCTAGAAAAGACCAGAGAGGCAGGAAAAGGCATGAGGAAAAGCGAGACAGCAAATGGTAGGTTCCCACCAATACAAACTGATATTTCACCTCAAATGACATATTGCACTAACATATGGGGCAGTCTCTCACTTGGAAAAATACGTATCAGTGGGAGACATAAATAGCTGCTCTGTCCTCAGGACCATCTGGGGACCCAGTTGAAGAATGGCTTAAAATAGCTGGGAATATTGGTAATGGAAAAGTAAGTGATGCCGGTCTTGTCCTGTCTCCCAACCCTACTGTTATCTGTGCGAGTTCTCAAGAATCAACTTAAAATAGGCCAAGGATGACCTGAATTTTCATCCCCACGTATACTATTTCTAGGGTTTTCACCCTTCTTTACCTCACTGTCATCATACTCAAGAATCTTGCATAACATAGGTTTGCAAGAGCGCATATTGAACTGAACTTTTATCACAAGCTAACCTCCAAAACAGAACACTTTGTCTGTGTGCAATTGAGCCCACTTGGGAAAATCTCCTTCCCTCGGTGCAAAACTTCTGCAGGCAAGCTGTAAATCTGAGATTGTTTGGGAAATCAAAGGAGTTCATTCTGTAGTGAGGGCTACCTGCAGTGTAGCTAAACCGAGGCCCTGTAAACTGTGCCCCAGACCCCGTCCCCGGCAGCCCTTAGACCTCCAGCAAAACATACTTATGAAACAGTTTTGGTTTCCAGTTATAGGAAGATGAAGATCAGTCAGCCACTCAAATTCCAAACCCAAACACTGAAAGAGCCAAGTGGTAGAAATCACTATTAATAAAACATTCAAGTGGCTCTCAAATAACTTTTTTAAACCGTAGACAAGACTTCGGGGTGAAATGAAGCCTCATCCGCTGGCCTCAAGCCATTACAAGATGACCATGAATTCAGAACAATGGAAAGAAATTCAACTGAACTACAGAGAGATTCATCTTTTCACTCCTTGCCTCATTCGGATAGAATGAAATTGCAAATAACCATGCAATATACTTGCCAATCTTTGCACCTCTGCTACAGCCCTGTGAGGTACTTTCAGTAACAGAGAAATGTTGATTGCATCTATACGGCACCTCAAAGGACTCGAGGTCTTCGTCCTCCACACCTGCTTCTCCTCTGCTGCTTCCCCTCTCAGAAAATAGCACCTCCAACCCACCCCATTATTTGTGCTAGAAAATGGAGTTAGTCTGGAAGCCTTCCTCTCTCACCTGTCCCTTGTCAGATCCAGCACTAAATCCTCTCAGCTCTCCCTCAGTCTCTACCACCACCATCACAGCCCAAGACACCCTTAGCCCCACCTGATGAATCTGTGCAGAAAGCTCCAAACTGCACTCACCACTCCAACTCTTGCCATTCTCCAGTCCATTTCCTCATGTAGCCACAGTCATCTTTTTCTTTTAGGCAAACCTACACTATCACTTCCCTGTTTGAAACCCTTCGGCAGTTTCCTCTTGCTCTGAATTTAAGACCACATTTCTGCCCTGGCTGGTTTGGCTCAGCGGTTAGAGCATCGACCTGAGATCCAGAGACACCAGGGTTTGGTTCCCGCTAAGGGCACGTAGCTTGGTTGCAGTTTGTCCCCGGCCCTGGTTGGGTTGTGTGGGTGGCAACCACTCGATGTGTCCCTTTCACGTCGATGTTTCTCTCTCTTCCTTCCACTCTATCTGAACAAAATATCAAAAAATGTCATCGAGTGAGGATTAAAAAATAAATAAGCCCTGGCCGGTTTGGCTCAGCGGTTAAAGCATCAGCTTTCGGTCCAGAGAGACCAGGGTTCAGTTCCCGCTAAGGGCATGTATCTCGGTTGCAGTTTGTCCCCGGCCCTGGTTGGTCATGCGGGTGGCAGCCACTCGATGTGTCCCTTTCACGTCGATGTTTCTTTCTCTCTCTCTCTCTCTCTCTCTCTCTCTCTCTCTCTCTCTCTCTCTCTCCTCCCCCCCCCCCCCACTCTATCTGAGCAAGAAATGTCCTCGGTTGAGGATAAAATAAATAAATAAATAAAATAAAATAAATAAATAAGACCACATTTCTTCCTGTGACCTACAAAGCCTAGCATGAGCTACCTCTTCCTTGTCTTCCCCCTTCATCTCCTGCCACCCTCCCTCTTACTACATTTCAGCAACAATGAACTTCATGTCAGGTTATTTTCCACCTCAGGGCCTTTGCACATGACATCACCCACACATGCCTGAAATGACTGTTTCTTCTTTGCATCCCCACTTTTAACATCCTTTCAATCACAGTCTAAGTGCCTCAGGAAAACTTCCCCTAGGCCCTCAAAATGGTCAACTCCCTCTGTTATGTTCTTTTAGCACACTCTTTCCTTTCCTTTCAAGGCATTTATAAAACTTTGAAGTTATATTTTTTTGTTTGTTTGTCTTTTTACAGGGTTATATGATTAATGTCTAATTCCCACTAAACTGTAAATGACATAAAAGCAAATACTGTCTATGTCTATTCTGTTTATCCTGGTATCCTAAGTAATGAGTGAGTGAGTTAGGAGGTGTTCATTCTGTATGTTTTTGGAACTGTATGTTTTTGGAAAAAATATATATAGTCACTAAGGAAGCTTCCTCAGTGCTATGAAATGAACTGTGTCCCTCCCAAAATTTATGAGTTGAAGCCCTAAGTCCCAATGTGACTGTATAGTGAGATGAGCTTTTAAGAGGTAATTAAGAGCCCTGGACGGGTTGGCTCAGCAGTTAGAGCATTGGCCTGTGGTCCAGAGAGACCCAGGTTCGGTTCCCACTAAGAGCATGTACCTTGGTTGCAGTTTGTTCCTGGCCCTGGTTGGGTCTTGTGGGAAGCAGCCACTAGATGTGTCCCTTTCACATCGATGTTTCTCTCTCTCTTCTTCTCTTTCCCTTCCACTCTATCTAAACAAAAGAAAAAAAAAATGTCCTCGGGTGAGGATAAAAAAAAAAGAGGTAATTAAGGTATATGAGGTCATAGGGTAGGATCCTTATCTGATAAGATTAGTGGCCTTATAAAAGAAGGAGGGTGGAAGAGAGAGAAAGAGAGATCTACCATACAAGGACAGAACAAGAAGGTAGCCTTCTGCAAGCCAGGAAGACAGCTCTTGCCAGAAACAGAATTGGCCAGCATCTTGATCTTGGACATCCCAGCCTCCAGAACTGTGAGAAAATTAATTACTACTGTTTAAGCCACCCAGTCTGGTATTTTGTCATGGCAGCCTGAGCAGACTAACACTCTCCATCATCGGCCCTCTTTAAAGCCATTCTATGATCTGAATTCTAGCCATTTGCTCTAGAAACAGAATATATAGGCCTCAGAGACAAATCCGGACTTGATTGTAGAGGCTATATAAGACCCTTTAAACTCCCAAGGCGTGTCCTCAAAAATAAATTCCCTTCTGGACACAGTAAGCCTTGGTGCATACTGTAATCTTGAAGGCCTTCTTCCCAAAGGGCTTGTGGATTAACTTGGTTTCATGTTCCCCAGAATGGCAGCCAAGTGCTGAGGCCCACATTCCCCATTAGTCCAGGTACTAGGGGGTCATCACAGCAGGTGTTTGGGGCTTTGACCTCACTCAGAAGAGAAAAGGTTACAAGAACAGCTACGGAAGAGGAGGGTGGTTGAAGGTGTTCAGCATCCATATTCAATGGCTGAAAAAGCTCTCACAGTCCGTGATGTACACAGAGACCCCATTCACCGGCCTAGCACTCACCCATCTGGAGAAATGTGGACAGGCAAGAATCTTGGCACCCTGCCTTGACCTCTGCAAACCCCACACTTTGTGGATTCTGATTAGCCCCACGCAGGAGGAGACAGAAGGTGGGCACAGCTGGAGCAGCTCTTGGATCAACAGCCAGGGAGGTGACAGAAGGTGGCAGCTGTGTAGACCAGCCACACCAAGAAGGTAGGCTATCCACAGGTTAGGGAAGAGAGCTGGCCTTCTGCAGTCCAAGGACAGGGAACAATGAGGTCAAGTTCTCCCGATTAACGGGGATAAGGACTCCTACTTCCCTTACCCACCGGGAGAATCAAGAAGGAGCAGGTGTCTGTTCTCCTCAGTCTGACAGACACCTGTGGCAACGGGTTTTTACCGGAAATAAGCTGTCATGTGGTCAGAATCAGAGGCCAGTTTAGAAAGACTTTTCCCTGAGAAAACAGATGAACTGATGGAAAGGATGAAAGAAAACACGGCAAGGAGACTAGCGAAAGCCTGCACCAAGCTTTTGGAATTGAAGGTAGAAAATGACCTGTGAATTTCCAGTTGTTCTTTCCAGCCCTGCCAGGAAATGGTTTTTGCCTGAGATTTTAGAGGGGGAAGGACACCTCTGATGACCAACCCAATGGTCATTTTTCTGTGTGTTTCACACCAATTGAGACAGATCCCAATGTCCTGGGGGTACACCCCAGCCCCTTAGAGATATAAAGGGTTTCAGGGGCTCTTAATCATTAACCAGCCCTAAGGCACCCTCAGCTTGAGATCCCTGAGAACCACCCCAAATAATGGTGATGTACTGCCAATTGTGTAATAATGCTAAGTATTTCCTCAGTTAATCTTCATAACAATCCTATGAGATATGTACTATTTTTATCCCTGTTTTATGTTTCAGGAAATGCAGGCTTAGTTAAGTCTTTACTCAAAGTATAAAGCAAGAAAGTAGAAGGGCCAGAACTCACACACAGGTGGCATAAAATTTATGGTTTTCACCACCCCATTTTACTAAGATGTCCCCCTCTGTTACAGAACGTCCATGACCTCCAATCAGCTTCCAATCCCCTGCGTACTTAGAAGCAATATGACTGCCCCATGCACCCTAACAGGAGAGACAAGCCACTTGCCTAGTCCCCAGGTTTACGGGGATGTCCTGGGTGCCCGATGCAGTCTCCCACCCAAATATTCTCCTTCCATCAGTTCATTTGGACAAAAACTAACAAAAGCCAGTGGTTTGCCAGGCCCGGTGCTAGAGGCTGGTGGGGAAAATGAAAAATAAGATACAGGGTTTGCCCTCGA